GAGAGCTCTGTGAGGTCCACCTGAAAGCCTCACTATGTGTCCACCTGAAGGATGAAAGCAGTGCTGCCCAGGGATTAAATGTTAAAGTTAATAGATGTTAGCTTTAAAACTTTAATTTGAAATGTATACATCTGAATGTTACGTGGCACAGTGGAGGGGTTTCCATTTCTTCATCTACGCCATTTGAAGGTTTGAAGTGGGTGTGAGTTCTCTGGAAGGTTTGCTAGCTTTGCAAGGCTGTGAATCTAGTGTTTGAAGAGTCTGAGAAAATTATGTATATTTAATTTGTTTTTGTATATTTAATTTATAAATGAACTTTAAAATGTTTAAAGACTCTTAATGAGGTATGCAAATGGGACAAAGAAAATCTGGTCTTTTGAAATTTATAAATTAACTGAACTTTCAAAAACTTAATTTTAATACAGAAATCATTCATTTAAATTCACTTACAGGATATGTATATGCTAGTTTTTAACATATTTGAACAGGTTTTAATTTGCAGGTTTAATCAATTAAATATTTATTCAAATATAAGCAACTACAAGTATTCCATTCTGAGTACAAAAACTTAAAGAATTTAAAAAGTGTACTGTCAACATTTAGGGAGCTCCAATGGCCTCGTGGCAAGAAGCTGTGCTGCAATCTCAAAGGCATGTGGTTCAAATCCCAACAACTGCTCCATGGAAGAAGGATAGGTAATCTGCTCCTGTGCGATTAACTGGCTCTGAAAACTGGCCAAGGTTCTGCTAAGATTAGTGCCTTTGAGTCATAGACAACTCATAGTGACCCTACGAACAAAAGACCTGGACGCTTGTATAACATTGATCATTTCTCCAGGTTCACAGAGTTTCCGGAGGCAAGCTATCTCAGAAGTGGATGCCACTCCTGCTTCCAAGCTTGTTTTGGCTAATTAAGCTTGTTTTAATCCACCATATACTGTCCGCCATGGGTGACCATTATCGCATTTGACACATCAGTGTCACAGTGTTTAGCATCACAGCCACCACGAGTTACCTCTGTCCAGCAATGGACAGACCAGTGTACACAACAACAGAACTGTTACCATTTACAGTCTCGGAAACCCAGTGGAGGATCACCATGTGACACTCAACCCGTGGCCCCCCCATACAGTGAGCTGCTGTTTTGTTATAAAAAGAAGTGTCCGCTTCCTCCACACCCTCATGTTGTTTCACTTCTTCAGAGCACTTATCACCACCTGATCTTTTTCTGTTCCTTTCTGAGTTTCTGCCTTTAAGAGAGGGCTGTGTCTGGCACTATAAGCCCAGCACCTAGCCCAGAGCTTTGTGTTTACCAGACAGTTGAATAAACAGTCCAAAGTCTTCACTGCATTTAGGGGTGGGGGATGGGGCGGGGGGGGGCGTCACACCTACTTTGGAAGATTCTTGGGCTAAAACGGTTCACATTTCCACAAACCAATGTGCAAGCAGGAACCCACTATCAGGTAGCCAGGTGGCCTCTCCACACCAGAAAGAGGGGGACGGTGATGAACTTACCGCGCTGGCATTGCCCCCGACTTGCATGCATCGCAGCTGGAACCAAGACCAGTTAGAGTCCAACTCTGTCGACCTAAATAGAAAGAATGTTCTTAAATGTTAACGCAGGATCCCCCAGACTCAAACCCCCAACTGTGGAAAGCAGCATTGCCTAGATCCTCAGGTTCCTAGAGAATTTGACATTTGTGCTTCCAGAGGACTGAGACCCCACAGGGGATGAGAGCTGGGCAAGCAGGGCCTGGCTCCCCGACCCCCAGCCCCGTCTTCCTGAGGGGTGACCCCTGGAAAGCCCTGAGGTCTGATCTTGGATGACCACAGTGAGCCAGGCCAGAGGCGTTCTGCTCTTTCAGGGCAGTGACCCAGAGCCGACGGGAGATACTGGAATGACTGTCCACACTTGGCCTCCCCCTTATTGGTCAAAAGTCAAAGTCACTGCTGTCAAATCGGAACCAACTCATAGGTGACACTCCAGGGGCATTCTGGAGACTGTAAATCGCACGGGAAGAAAGTGCCCATCCTTCTCCCAAGAAGCAGATGGGAAGTGTCTCTACTCAACTCAGATGTAGGCCTGGGCCGGCTCCCCCCCCCACTCGTCTGTCCACTTTAACCACGGACAGAGCCTGCAGAATGCCGATATTCTTATCAAGAGGTGGGTGGAATCGAACCAACACTTCACTGACAAGGAGGGGAGAACACTCTGGGTGTAAAAACCTTGGTGCACCGGGCTGCAAACTCAAAGTGGGTGGTTTGAAACTCACCAGCTGCTCCCAGGCGAGCAGTGTGACAATCTGTTGTCATGACAATTTACAGCCTCAGGGACCCGAGGGGCCCCTCCCACCCTGTCCCACAAGTGTGTGTCCTCCTGCCCCGCACCCATTGCTCCCTGCTCAGCTCCAAGCTGAGAGGAAGCCAGAGGCAGGTGTGGGTGGTCACCAGAGAGCCCTGTTAACGGGGACAGGGCGACACCTTTTACGTCTAGCACATGAACAGGAACAGAACGCAGGCTTGCTTGCTACTCAGCAGCGCCTTGTCCCAGACCAGGTTCAGGATGTAAACCATTTAGGACGTGCCCCTGCCCAGAACCTGCACAAATAGCCAACACAGGCAGGAAAAGTGCCCTGGAGCCAGGGACACTGCCCCGAGGGGGCCTCTCTGCCCACGCGGTCTATGACCACGTGCTCTGTGTGCCCACCCACACATGCTGTGACCACTGCCCCAAGAGGACCACCCATCCAAGTGCTCTGTGACCGTGGCCTGAGGGGGCCCCAAAGGCTCTGTGACCACCGGCCTGAGAGGCCCACATGCTCTGTGGCCACTGCCCATGGCCAGCAGTGTTAGAGAGGCTGGTGACGCAGCCAGCAAGCTTACAGCCAGTGCAGCAGTCCCTCAACGCCTGCAGGGGAGGTGGCTGGTTCCAGAACACCCCGACCCCAAGTGGGAGGATGGCAGGCCCTTAGCCTCTGCGTGTGGTCTGTTCACATGCTCCCGCGTGCACCCAGGCCTCTCTAAATGACCCAATACAACACCTAGGGGACATGAAGAACACTTCACACTTCCCCTTGGTATCTGATAAATTACTCTGGCCATGTAACTGCCTTCTGCCCCCCAAATACTTCCGAGGATATGAATCTCAGGTGTGGAGCCCACGGACACAGAAGTCCGACTGGTAACACTAATATCCACTTCACAGTGATGTATAAACGTCAAAATAAAAAGCACGCTTCATAAAAACAGGCTTCTCCAAAACAAAACACAACCACAAAACCTTTAGAATATCTGGTTATTGATCAAAACGACGAAGCTATCCTTCATTCCTTGTTCTGTGCTTTTGACTGTAACTCCTGGCGGCCACAGAAACAATGGCTCTGACCCCTGCCCGGTCCTGAGCCAACCTCACTGCCTCGGACACACGTGACCCCACCACCACAGTCACTGTGTCGGTCCATGTCAGCCAGGGTCTTCCTCTCCTGCACTGACCCTCCGCCCTTCCAAGCACGATGTTCTTCTCCAAGGAATGGTCCCTCCTGACAACAGAACCAAAGTACGTGAGACAGAGCACTACACACCGTGCTGCACTGCCATTACCTCGTCTGCACCCCCCACTAGTGCAGGGCCAGCGACAAGGGAGGGCCCAGTTCTTCTCGTAAGTGCACAGGACCTGGCAACTAACAGAAGCTCAAACAGCGGCATGCAACCAAGACCGCCAGCATTTAGACTTGCTGGTCTTCAGTGAGCTCTGGCAGCCTGGTGATAAGGAGCTGTGCTGCCAACCTGAAGGTTCACAGTTCAAATCCACCAGCTGCTCCGCAGGAGAAAGGTGAATCGTCTCCTCCCATGATATTTACCGCCTCTGAAAACCCGACGGAGGATCAGCTATCAATCAGTTCCGATCTGATGACATAAAAGCACTACAATCCTCTTTAAAGAAGCAGCAGCTCCTTTCTACGAAGATGGCGCCGAAAGCGAAGAAGGAAGCCCCTGCCCCTCCCAAAACTGAAGCCAAAGCAAAGGCATTGAAGGCCAAGAAGGCGTCCTGAAGGGCGTCCACAGCCAAAAGAAAAAAAAGAAAAAGAAGAGCCGCACGTCACCCACGTCCCGGCGGCCTAAGACGCTGAGACTCCGACGGCAGCCCAAATACCCCCGGAAGAGCGCTCCCAGGAGAAACAAGCTTGACCACTATGCCATCATCAAATTTCCCCTGACCACTGAGTCAGCTATGAAGAAGATAGAAGATAACAACACACTTGTGTTCATTGTGGATGTCAAGGCCAACAAGCACCAAATTAAACAAGCTGTAAAGAAGCTCTATGACACTGATGTGGCTAAGGTCAACACTTTGATTAGGCCTGATGGAGAGAAGAAGGCCTATGTTCGACTTGCTCCTGATTATGATGCTTTGGATGTTGCCAACACAATTGGGATCATCTAAACTGAGTCCAGCAGGCTAATTCTAAATGTAATAAATTTTTCTCACCAAAAAAAAAAAGAAGCAGCAGCTCAGTGCTCGGCTGATGGAAAGGGCAGTGAGCCACACCCGGCAGCCGACCTGGAATATGGAGAAGCCTCCCCCTCCACAGGGATTTCCCCCGACACCCTAGGGCGGTCCAGCTCTGTCCTGGGGGGTTAGGATGGCGCGATGGCCTAGGCTGGCCAGCTACTGGTGTCTCTTCATTTACTTTTAAAATCTGCCACACAACTCTTGGGATTGTTGTTGTTGCTGCTGTTAAGTGCCGTGGAGTCACAGGCAACTCATAGCGACCCTATGAACAAAAGACCTGGACATTTGCATAACTTTCATCCTTTCTCCAGGTTCATAGAGTTCCTGGAGCCAAGATATTACGGAAGTGGATGCCACTCCTTCTTCCAAACTTGTTTTAATCAGGGAGCTCCACCGAACGCTGTCCACCATAGGTAACCATATCGCCTTTGACACATCAGTGTTACAGAGTTCAGCTTCACAGCGACCATGAGTTAGTACTGTATAGCAAGTGGATGGGATTAAGCAATCTTTAAAAAAGAAAAAATTATAAAAAATTATAATCAACCCAAACATTTTTCTCTACAAAAGTGAGACTTCCTTGGTGGTAAAAAGCTGCACTGCAATCCCAGAGGTGTGTAGTTCGAATCCACCAGATGCTCTGCTGGAGAAAGAGGGACAATCTCCTCCTGTACCAAATCCAATTTGACGGTACACACACACACACACACACACACACACACAAATATAATAAAATAAAATTTTTAAAAAAATAACAAAAAACTAACTTCCTTTGGAGGTGGGCTGGCAGGCACGCACTGCATCGCGGTGCTGGAATGTCAAAACCACGGCTCTGTGGATGCTACACTCTGAAGAACCTCGCATGCACGCAACCTTCCTTTAACCAGCGCCCAGCTTTCCAAGCGGATGGAGAGCCCCAGACTCCTGCAGAGCTTTGCCGCCCCATCTCCAGCACTTCATAGTCTGTCTTATTTATCCACAGACTTAATCCTGTGCTGACCCAGCCCAGGCAGGCGAGCGCAGAGGCTAGAACCCATCCACCTTTAAGAAGCTCAGGAAATACTTAACGGTGGACTTGAGAAGAAAACAGTGCCAGAGGCAGAGGAAACCATGGAAATGGACACCATGGAGGGAGGGCAGGCATTTGAGAGGGGTTGGCAGGGATCGGGGGGGGGGGGACAGCCCCCCAGCCCACACCCTCTCTGGCAGCCAGCTCAGGAAGCACCCACCACTTCCCACCACTCCTGACTCGCCGCCTTCTATCAGCTTGTCAAATCCAGTGTTCACACATTCTCTTCCTTTGCAAAATGATCAACCTGAAGTTCTACGTAAAAAAATGAAACCCCCTAAGCCTCCATTTAAACGAGAATATTATTCATGCCAAGCTATTGACAATGTTTATGCCTGGAACACAGGTCTGCATGTGTGTGAGCACAAGCTGTTCTCCCATGCGGACTCTCCATCTTTCCACGTATGATTTTCCAAGGACTGGTCCCTCCTAGCTATATGCCCAAAGCATGTGAGATAGAGCTTCAGAATTCTTGCCTCCAAGGAACAACCTGGTTTCACCCTCTCCAGGAGAGACCTGTTTGTTCTCTTGGCAGTCCATGGTATGTTCAATACTCTTCTCCAACACCACAGCTCCAAGGCATTGACCCTTCTTCTATCATCCTTATTAATGACCAGCTCTCTGCTGCATAACAAGTAATTGCTAAGACCATGGCCTGGATCAGGCGCACCTTAGTCTTTAGGTTGATATTGTTTCTCTTTAGCACTCTGGAGAGGTCCTGATGCTGGATTTCCCCCATGCAATTTGTCTTTGGATTTCCTGACTGCTTGTGCCAAGAGTGTTGATTGTGAAGTCGAGCAAGCTGAAATTGTTAACAACTTAAATATCTTCTCTATCCATCATGGTGCTGCCAATTGGCACAGTGGTGAGAATCTTTGTTGGGTTTGTTTGGTTTTTGTTTTTTTTTATATTGAGCTTCAATACATATTGAAGTCTATAGTGCTTGACCTTCTGAAAAAAATGCCTCAGGTCCTCCTCAACTTCAGTAAACAAGGTTGTGTCATCTGCATAATGCAGGTTGTTAAGTCCCCCTCCAATCCTGATGCCACACTCCTCCTCATAACCCAGCGTCCTGAATGATCCAGTCAGTATACAGACTGAAATGGTATGGGGACAGGACGCAGGAAGCATCCCTAACCCACTCCCTTCCTGACTTTGAACCATGCAGAGTTTCCTTTCTCTGCTCGGATGTCTGCTTCCTGTGTGTGTGTGAGTGATTATGAGTGTGTGTACGTAAAGGTGCATGTGTGTACGTACTTAGTGTGTGTACTGAGTGTCTCTGTGTGTTCTGTGAAATGAGTGTGTGGGCACATGCATGTGTTCGGAGTACGAGGGTTAAGAGGAGGTTCTCTAAGAGGGACTTTCACTTTTTATACTTTGGGACAGCTCAGATTTCCCCCCCCCCCCCATAAGCTAGTGTTCAGATTTTTTTTAATCATTTAAATAGTTTTAATCATTTAAGAGCAATTTAAATTATTTAAATATTTTAGTATTTTTTTAAGTAATTCTTTAAAGAGCAGTTTTCCAACAACAAGAAAATATCTCAAAAAAACAAAGCCCCAAGCCCTCAGCTGGCCCTGGCCCTGACTTTCTCTTTGTCCAAACCCTAGACTGCATACCTTAGGCCTCCCTGATTTTTAAGACAGTTTCTGAATAATGTATAAGCACTATGATTCAGACACCTATTTTTATCCAACTTTTAAAAAGCCTGTGATTAAATATGAAACAGCAGCGCACAGGCCCTCATGTCCAGCCTCGGCAGCCTCTCAGCCAGTCTCACCTCAGCTGGGGGACATGAAACCACCTCAACTGGCCATGGGCTCTAGTGACCAAGAAAGGGGGCCGGACAGGAATGAGAGGGGCTGGGCAGAGAGGCAGAGAGAAGGCATACAGTGAGGGGATGGAGAAAGAGAACCAGGGCGGAGTCTGTCTCCCAGCGCTCTGGGCAGGGCAGTTACCTAGAGCGATGGGTAACGATGGATCCTGGGGGGAAACACATTAAAAATAAACTCGCGAGGTGCACAGTTCAAATCCACCAGATGCTCTGCTGGAGAAGGAGGAACAATCTCCTCTTCCTGTACCAGTCAGATCTGATTTGACGGTACACACCAAAAATAATGAAATAAAAAACAAAAACAACAACAACAACAAAAATAAACTCGCTGAGACTATGAAATCCCTCAACAGTCAGGTCTGGACAGAGCATCCAGAAAATTCTGGGGCTAGAGCCTAAGAGAAAATGAGCTGACTGATTCTCCAAAAGCAGGAGTGACAGAAACCAACCCCCTTTCCTACACCAGCAGCCATGGAGTTTGTGACCACAGACACTGAGCAGAACATGCTTTTCAGACCCAAAAAAACTCTACGCATCAGCAGAGTGGTTTTGATATACTAATCTATTTTTAAAGTATGTTGCTTTCACTATGCATTTGTGCTAATATACAAAACACTATTTTAGAGAGTACAATAGATTTTATCCTATAGAAGCAAATGCTTTCTTAGGGCAAGTACACTCTATCAATAATCTTTACAACAAAATACGGCTCATCACAATTCCTAAGAGCCTGCTTAGCGGGTCCCTTCCCTGGACGCAGGTGGCAGGGACACATGGTGGTGGCTGGCCGGACTGGAGACCAGGACAGTGACATCATCAAGCTCCCAATCCTGAGGCTGGCAGTGGCTCTTGGGTTATTTCTCCTACTAGTTTACTTTCTCTGACTCCCCACAAAAGCACTGCCCACCTCCCACTGGCCTGGGTGGTGTGTCTGTCCTGGACGGCCTGAGGTGGGCACCTTTCTCTGAGGGACACGCCGCACCAAGCAGACCACAGCCCTGTGTCCGATGGGCACCCTTCTCTGATAGATGCACCACACTAAGCAGATTGCTGCCCTGTGTTCTGTCCGAGGTAGAGAACAAAGTGCCTGCAGCCAAACGTTAAGACAGATGAGAAGAAGGACCTTCACCTTATAAACCTCTGATACGGCCACTAAAACTCCCCCAAACCATGGTGACCGCAGCGTCCACGGAAGCCAAGGTGGTAGGATGAAGCTCGGAGTGAACCCCTGGCCGGCAACAGCTGCCCACCATTAACACACACACCCCAGGTGGACAGGGACAGGAAGGCCCCCCAAGGCCCTTTTATCACGACTGTGTCCAGCAGATGCCCAGTGCGTCTAAAACTATGAGATGACAGCAGAGGAAGGAACTATTACCCCAGAACACTTCACCCTGGTTCCCCAAAGATTCCCCACATCACCGCTTCCCCACTGGTGGACACAGATCTCCACAGAGGGGCGCGGAATAGAAAGTCACTCTTCCCAGCTTTCTTACTCTTGTCAAGTCTCGGCTTTCTGTGGCTCAAGATCAGCCTCGTCTTACCTGATGCCGAAGCAAACATGCAGGAAAAGGGGGGGGGGGCAGCTGCTCCCCGCCCCCCACATCGAGGAAAACCACACTTACCGGATAAAGCTCAGGTGAACCCCGAGGGACCGGTGGACCCCCGAGCAGTCGATGCACAGAAAGACCCCGTAGGTTATGCTTGCCCAGCTGGGATTTTTCGCCCCACAATCAAAACAGACCTGAAAGAGAAATCAGTTCCATTAGGAACTACGGGCACCCCCCGACCTACAACAGGCTGGGGCCCAGGGCCTCTCCTGTGAGTTCGCCTGCACCTGAGCTGAGCCTCTCTCCCCTTTTTTATTAGTATTGCCTTTATTATCAGTCTCTTTATAAATCTGATCTTTATTCGCGTTTAAGGTGTGAAAACATTACATATCATCTCAAGAGAGCGCTGGTGGCCTAAACATGTATTTCAGTACATGTTGTTGTTGTTGTTATGTGCCATCGAGTCGTTTGCGACTCATAGCGACCCTATGCACAACAGCCCTAAACCCTGCTCTATCCTGCGCCAACCACACTGCCTCTGACACACCCATCCCGATTACCCCAGTCACCGAATCAATCCATCTCATAGAGGGTCTTCCCCTCCTGAGCCGTCCCTCCACCCTCCCAAGCATGATGTCCCTCTCCAACGATCCATCCCTCCTGGCAACATGTCCAAAGTATGTCAGACGAAGCCCCAGAATCCTTGCCTCCAAGGAGTAGCTTGCTTTAATCCTCTCCAAGATGAATCTGTTTGTTTTCCTGGCAGTCCATGGTACATTCAGTACCCTTCTCCAGCACCACAGCTCAAAAGCATCCACTCTCCTTCTGTCCTCCCTAGTCATTGTCCAGCTCTCTGATGCATAACAAGCGATTGCAAATACCATGGCCTGTATCAGGCGCACCTTAGTCTCCAGAGAGACACTGTTGCTCCTGAGTACTTTAGAGAGGTCCCTAACAGCAGACTTCCCCATCGCGATACGCTTTTTGAATTCCTGACTGCTGGTGCCAAGAGTGTTGACTGTGGAGCCGAGCAAACTGAAGCTGTGAACAATTTCAATCTCTTGGTCATCCATCCTGACGCTGCCAATTGGTCCAGTGGTGAGAATCTTTGACTTGTTAAAAATATACAAATGTTTCTAAACTCCAGAAACCTGAAGACTGCTAGTTTAGGACCGTCTGTGATTTATATTGGGCAAATGAGTCCCCTTGGAGGTGACAATACAGTAGCTGACTTGAAAAAAAAAATCCTCAAATGTCCCTTTCTGTTACTGTAACATGACATGCAGTGAAAGAAGCTTAGATTTCTGTGTATCTTTTAAATGTTACTGATTCTCTCTCATCGGGAAGGAAGGATCCTTCTAGTCAGGAGAATGAGCCAGTGAAGGACCCCTCAGATCCCCCCCAGTTCACGGCTCACAGCCTACCATTCACCCCACAAGCTCTATAGCAATGGGAGGCGCTCCTGCCACAGGAGAAGGGAGGCGGGGTGTCAGCCTCGCCCCACTGGCCCCAGCCTCGTGGCACTCACAGCCTGCATGGCCCAGGAAGGCCTTCCCCGGCCCAGGTGGCCTCTGGGATCAATGGACAGTGGCAGAAGCACCGGGATCTCACTTCTGCGATTAGACTGCAGGATGCTGTGAGGTCTGCTCTCTCTCCCCAGCTCACAGCTCTCGGCCAAGCCAGCTGCCACGTCTTGAGGACACTCGACTGGTCCCAGTGAAGAGGCTCGGGTGGCCAACAATTGAGCTCCTCCGTCCAAAAGCCAGCAAGAAACCGAGACACATAAGCCAGCAAGTAAGTGGGTGAGCGTGGGAGGAGGCGGGCCAGCTCACAGATTAACTGCAGCCCTGCTCCACTGTGAAACCACAGGTGGACAGACCCTGGGTCAGAGCTTCCAGCTGAGCACCCTGGATTCCCACCTCTCAGAAGCTGGCTGAGACAATAAATGTGCATGCGTGCGTCTGTACCGTTCAGAGATGCTGTCCTGGGGTGATGTGGGTCACACCAGGCGAGAACTAACCACAGAGACACTCCTCTATCTACACTGTGTCCTGCTCTGCCCTGCACTTGGCCTCTCAGACACACAGCCCCCATCCCACACACACCCTCCTCCACCGGGGGCACGGAGAGCCCTCCAAGGTGGGCAGCGTCCCCACTCCCCTTGCCTTCTATCAGCACAGAGCCCATGTGTGGTGGTCAATACTCAGGAAGTGATTGTGAAATGGACTCTCTCCCCCCCAGAGCCTGAAGGGTAATCCCTGAGTCCTTATCGTAGGTACTCAGGAAGTACTTGTTCAGCAACAAACAGCTTCCAGAACACAAGGCCAGGTCAAAAGTCATCGTTGGCCTCTTCAGTACGGACTGATGGCAGACAGGAGGACTGAAGCGCTTTCAAATACACAGGCTTCCTACGGAAATTGATATTTAACATTAACTACAGAATAGCAAAAATTCTGCCAACTGGAAGATTGTTTTTAATTCTTTCCATTAAAAAAATACTTTGGATACACTTTATAGGCAAAGTCATCTATATGTTGTTGTTGTTGTTGTTGTTGTTAAGTGTCATTGAGTCAAGGATAATTTATTAACCATCCTATGAACAAAAGATCTGAAACCAGTCCTTTCCTGTGCCATCCTCACACTTCCTGACACACAGAGCCCATTGCAGCAGTCACTGTGTCAGTCCACCTGGTTGAGGGTCTTCCTCTCCTTCGCTGACCCTCAACCCTTCCCAACATCATGTCACTCTCCAAGGAACAGCACCTCCTAGCAATTTGTCCCAGGTATGTGAGGTGAAGCCTCATCATTCCTGCCTCCAAAGAGCACTCTGGCTGCACCCTCTCCAAGACATACCTATTTGCTTTTTAGCTTGCCTCCAGAAAGCCTATGAACTTGGAGAGAGGATGAGAGACACACAAATGTTGAGGACTCTCCTTCATAGGGTCGCTATGAGTCGCCTGAGACTCGACGGCACTTAACAACAACAACATGGGATGTTCAGTGCTCTTCTCCAATACCACACAGCTCAAAGGCATCAATTATTCTTCTGTCATCCTTATTCATCGTCCAGGTCTCAGATGCATAGCTAGTAATCGGAAAGACCATGGCCTGAATCCGATGCACCTTAGTCCTCAAACTGGCATCACTACACCTCAATAATTTGCAATGTAGGGGAGCTCTGGTGGCCTAGTGGCAAGGAGCTGCAATTACAATCCCAGAGGCGCACGGTTCGAATCCACCAGATGCTCTGCCGGGGAAGGAGGGACAATCTCCTCCTGTACCAGTCAGATCTGATTTGACGGTACACTCACACAAAAATAATAAAATAATAATTTAAAAAAATTAAAAAAAAATAATAATTTGCAATGCATCTCCTGACTTCCTGACTGCTGGTACCAACTGTGTTAATTGCGGATCCAAGCAAGACGAAGCTGCTGACAGTTTCAATCTCCTCTCCATCCATCATGACACAGCCTACTGGTCCACTGGTAAAAATCTTTGTTTTCTTGATATTGAGACACAATCCCTACTGAAGGCTGCATTCCTTGAGCTATATGAAGTTGCCCAAAATATAATCAAGAAAGATCTGGATCCGAGCCTTCTGAGGGCAACATGAGAGAACACACAAGTGGATTTCCCAAAGCCCCCCACTGCGACATACAAGTGAGATGTGGAGGTGACGGACGTGAACCCCAAACTCCCTGCTAGCAAGTCGATTCTGGCTCATGGTGACCCCGTGCACAGCTCAACCTGCCTCCACAACACTAAATGCTCAAGTTAAGCTACACTAACGTTTGGTTTTACAACATTCATATTATCTCAGGACACTAATTTTGAGGGTTAATCCCTTGTCCATGGCTCCATAAAGTCTGGCTTCCAGGAATATTTTAAATGCTGCTCTGGCGTTCCTCTCTTGATCAGGATTCCTCTACAGAATCTCTCACCACTATACTCAGTAAAGAGAGGCGGGCACCATCCAGTTCTTCTGGTTTTATGGCACAGAAGGCAGTTGTCTGTGGAGGCAATAATCTGTGTATTTCCTCCTTCCATTCCTGATCTCCTTCCTTCTTCCACTTGCTGTGTCTTGGATCATTTGTACTTCTCGCCTGCCTGCTGTCTGCCAGGCGCTGTAACAGGTGCAGTGGTCCAGGAAGCGTGAGGGGCTGTTTGCATCCCCTCACTAATTCCCTGCTAGCTCCTGTGTGTGAGGGATGCATCTGGCACTGCGGCAGGTGGTGGGCACGTGAAGATGAGCCAGTGGCCGAGTGCACAATTAGATGGGACGGTAGCAAGCAAGGGCTGACTAAAAGATTTCTACATGGGGTCCAGGGGCATCGAGCCCTCAAGAACAGGGCTGAAAAAGGCAGGAAGTGCTAAAGAGCTTGAGTGGCCAACGGCACTGTGGACAGAGGTGACCACAAGCGAAGATGAGGAGCGTAGTGCCACGTCAGCAAGGCTCAGTCTTGGTCACCACTTGTCCCCTGAGCAGTGCACCGAGCCCAGCACAGAGTGGAAACTCACCAAGGCAAGTGCAAAGTGGAGGACAGGCTGGATGCAGCACAAGAGGCATCCAGGCTGGGCTGTGAGGGACGTGGGTGGGCAGCTGACGGAGACCTAGGTCCAGCTGGGCTGTGTGGGACATGGGTGGTCAGCTGGGGAAGACTCAAGTGTGGCTGGGCTGCGTGGGACGTGGGTGGTCAGCTGGGGAAGACCCAGGTCTGGCTGGGCTGTGAAGGACATGGGTGGTCAGCTGGGGAGACCCAGGTGAGGCTGGGCTGTGTGGGATGTGGGTGGGCAGCTGGGGAGACCCAGGTGTGTCTGGGCTGTGAGGGACATGAGTGGGCAGCTAGGGAGACCCGGGTGTGTCTGGGCTGCGAGGGACATGAGGGGGCAGCTGGAGAGACTGTCTCCCACATCAGGACGCCTCACCTCGTGGTGCTTCCTGCGGACTGTGTGTGTTGTTGCTGTTGTTTAATAAACTGAAGGTTTCTGGTAACCCTGCCCCGAGCAGGTCTGCTGGCTCCCTTCCCCAGCGCACGTGCTTCCTCACACCCCTGTGCCACATCTGGGTGATTCTCACAATATTTCAGACTGTTACACACTCAAGACACTGCCACATAGTGTAAACGCTGCTTCCCAGGCAGTATGAACTAGGAGACATTCTCACTGGCATTACTGCGATGTGGCTTTACTT